TATGCAATTTATTATTTCAGACAAGTTTATTTAAATATAAATATTTATTGACTTAGTAAAATTTTTGACTCTAATATATAGCTACGATTATCGATTATATTTTAATTTTGTTTGGCGGCAAATTCTGATTGGCTAAAGTGCAATAGAATATCAATTAGCATATGTTAAATGACCTTCTAAGTCATTTGGATCTCGAAATGACCCAATGACTAGTCATTTGGATCACGAAATGACCCAACGACTAGTCATTTGTCATTTGGGTCATTTCAGGTTATTTACCATCACTGCTATATGGAGTGGCCTGGAGCAGCATAATGGCCTTTAAATCCAATTGGTTAATTACTGAGAGACTGAATATATATTCAAAAACTACACCTTTTGCTCTATATACTGTCAAAATAAACATGAAAATGGATGAATAATTAAGAAAGTTAGCTATAAAGCATTTTTATAGGTCTATTAGTAGGGTTGTTAAATGGAGTATATTACTCTGAAGTGGCCCCAGCTTGACTCCAAACTAACTTGGAGTGGATTAAAATTTAATGAACTGGAGTACTAGTTTAGTAACCCAGTTTATTAAACCAGTTTAGTAAATTAGTTTATTAAACCAATTTATTACATATAGGTATACTGTATTTTATGAAATAGTATAGTTAAAAATAACATAAACATTATGGTAATTGGTAGTATGTTATATTATGTTATACATATTAAATGATATGTATACAGTATATCTATTTTTTGGTTTACTATTAACAAAAATATAAAATTACGATTATATCTTATTGCTATATACTCTATACTTTCAGATATTTTTGGACATTACTTCTATTTTTAGCTTGTCTAAGCTTGTATTCACTGTCTATATTGAAAACTTTTGGGTTCAATTAACTAATATTATATTACTTATAGTTAACCTATATATTATAATAAGTTATCTTTAATATTGAGCTAAAACTGAACATATCTTTCAAAAGTTATTTGGAAAGTTTATATACATGCTTATATTATATTATATTATATATATGTACATGCTTTTTTTATATAAAATAAATTTAAATATAATTAGCTTACTATCTTTGCATTATACTTGTATTGGCGTGTACCAATTTAGTGTACCATTGATATTGTCAAATACTCAGCACTATCAACTTTATTTGAAGTATAAACTAAAGTATAAGCTAGAGTGTTGTGTTGGAGTACAGTGTTGGATGATGACAATATCATAATATCATGTGATATTTTCATATAATATAGAATCATATGAATCATATACTATATGATATAGATCATGTCATATTATTAATATATGACACTTCATATGATATTGTAATATGACAAATTATATAAGTTATATCATTTACATGACATCATTATCCAACACTGTTGAAGTATAAACCAAAGTATTGCCCTAAAGTATAAATTGAAATATTGCTTTGGAGTATTACTCTAGAGTATAAACTAGAGTATTACTCTAAAGTATTAAACTAGAGTATTAAACTAGAGTATTAAACTAGAGTATAAAACTAGAGTATAAACTAGAGTATAAACTGGAATATAAACCAGAGTATAAAACTGGAGTATAAACTGGAGTATAAAACTAGAGTATAAAACTAGAGTATAAACTAAAGTATAAAACCTGAGTATAAACTAAAGTATAAGCTAGAATAATTAAACCAGTTTGGTTTGGTTTTAGACTTACTCCACTAGTTTATAACCAGTGTTGGCAAAATATAAACATGGATAATATAAACCATTGGACATGAACATTTATGGACTATGTTCATATTGTCCATATTTTTTTCTATTAAACATAAGATGCTTAGTCCAAATCAATCACGTGGGCTTACTACTCTGAAATATTCCGGAAGAATAAGCCAAAATTGTCGAAATATCCCAAAAAATTCGGTGAAAGAAGATACGGACATGGATACCATTTGGACTAGTCCATGACCATATTTGTCCAAATCCAAAAAAAAAAAATTTTATTGGACATAGTCCAAATGCCAACACTGTTTATAACCCAAACAAACCAAACCATTAACAATACTATCTATTAGCCAATCGGAATGAAGCCGCCTATGCTTATATGGAGTAATCTAGTGCGAAACTTGGGGTTGCCCCATATAGAGTGGTCTGGAGTAAATTTATTCTTATAACCCGGAGCATTAAGCTGGAGTACTAACCTGGAGTACTGACCTGGAGCACGGCCTGGAGTACAATCTGGAGTGTTAGTTTAAATATAACCCGGGTTGGGTTGGAGTAAGGTCTGCTCCATCTAATTTTAACCCAACTCACTCCACAGTACGCCAATCACATGCCCACTCCAACACTCTAATAATAGGTGATTCAATATTATTTTTAAAGTGACAAATATTCATTGTAACCTATTTATATTAATTTTTGTTTTTTTGTTTTTTTAAAGAGATTACTAAATCATTTATTTACAATCATTCAATGCGAAGCATAAATAATAATTATATAAATTTAAATACAAATATTGAATTGAAAAATTCCACATTCTTGCGATACAAAAAAATAAAAGCGCAGATGATGATAATTTAGTTACGCAATATGCGTCAATAGAACCGGTGGGCTTTTTTTGTTTATGTTCCTATTAATTTTTCTACGCCTCCCTGTGCTATTGATGGCAAGCTTCCGATTTCGCCAACTTCCTTGGCAATTTTTCCTCCTTCTTCCAATTCTTTATTATCATTTGCTTCACCAATTTTCTCCACTGCTGCACCTACAACAAATTCACTCGCTGACAAAGCTTGAGCAACCGGAGCTGTGGGTGGATAAAGAGAAGCAGCTGCTAAAGCGCCACCGGCACCTATTTTCAAAGCTGTGCATGCTTCTTTTTCATCATCCGAAGCATGAACTGTAGGAATAAGTGCCTCTTTTGCACTTTCAGTAATTGTTGGATTACTTCCCTGCTTTTCGCCTAATTTCTTTTGTTCTTGACTCTTATCAATTTCTCTAACTTCGATTTTTGCTAAATTTTCTTTTTATTTAACTTTTCATGTAAAAATCTGGATCTTCTTTAGTATAGCTAGGCAATATAGAAATATTATAAAATTATAATATAAAAAAACTCTAACCCTAACCCTAGAGCTAACTATAAACTTTACTATAACCCTTAACTAACCCTAACTAATCTCAAATTTGCTTAAATTAGTTCAAATACTATGTTTATATATTATAATCTTATAATAATTCTATATTGCCCAGTTATACTAAAGATCAACCTTAAAAAGTGTAAGAAAAAGGAAAAAAAACTTTTTTGCTTATCCTATTTCATTTCCTAATAAACAACAATTTGAGCCAAATATTCGGTATTGTTTACCGTATATCGGCGACAATTATTCTTTTGAGACTTAATGGCAATATATTTATATATTTTATTTATACTGAATCAATTTGCAAGATCGATTAAAATCTGACAAAGATTTTATGGATTTTTACTGTATATAGCGCAGGAATTTTATAAGAAAAAAAGATTTATCAAGCAATAGATGTTATTTTGTTCTTTGAGAAAAAATTGATTTATTTTCCAACAATGAAGATGATAATTTAAGATTGGGTAATAGAAATCTAGAAAGTTAAAAACCAATTATCATATATTAAAGGCACAACATTATACTATGTAAATTATTTTGACCAGAAGAATCATAGCAAATTCATTAGTTATGTTATCCAACCGTCACTTAATACATAACGGCTAATGGAATTAAGAAGTCTTTAATACGGGATTTAAAAATAAAAATTTTGACCAACTTTTTTTAATTATGTGAGTATTAATCGCGTCATTTATTAAATATAAATTACAATCAATGACCGTTTGCTGACTGGAAAAATTACGATAATTAAATATTTGACTACAGTATATCAATTCAGGCTAAAATAATCAAATTATATAAGTACTAACATCTAAAATTTGGAATAACTATCATTGTACAGTAACTATTTAATCTTAAGCGATTCTTTATATCTGAATTACACCAAGAATTAATTATGGGCTTTTATTAGAGATGTTACCAGCTCGTTCGGCTTTATTCATTAATCGGTTTTTATAATATTTATACAGGCCGATAACATCCCTAGTTTTTATTCAAAAAAAAGCGTTATTACGTGTATTAAATAGTCACATTTATAAAAAGTAAAATTACAAAGATTCGAAAATTCGATCGAACTTACTAAAATAAAAAAATTCTACTACCAACATTGCACAGTATCTATTATAAATTTCTATATATTTATTTAGAATATATAAAAACTAAAAAAAAAAGTCAAAATAAAAACAAACGACTATAACTAAAATGGAGAACAAGGTAAAGAAACATTTATGCTCCGTTAATTTTAGCTGACACCGAGCAAAGTTTGCATCCGTTCTCTGTTGGAATTGGTCTAACCGTTTTTAGACATGTCTAATAAAAAAATAAAACAACTAAATATAGTAACATGCCAACCTTGTTAAGCATCCCGAGGCTGCCAAGAAAGGTTATACAAAGAAGGTACATAACCGATTCTTCCTAGAGAACCAATAGTCCTTGACAAAGGGATTTTAAAAAGGTCCTAAAAGCAAAGTTTACATAAATCCTTATCATTTATAGCCAGCAAGACCTGCTCTGAAAAATACTTTCCAAAAAATACTTTCCAAAAAAAACCGGCCATTTTTTAGAGGCAACAAACCGATCTTTTAGTATTGTGAACTAATAATATTTTCTTAATAAAAAAAGTATAGAATGGTTCTACCACAGAATCCCGACAATACTAAAATTCTTATGTCATATTAATATTTTAGTATTTTCGGGATTTTGGATTCTGTGGTAGAACCGCATAGGATAGCTATATAGAAGAATGGACCTAGTGGCAATCGAACCCCCTGCTGAATTGTTGCTGGTCGACGGTAAGATAGCTCTATCCCGTGAACCATATTTGGATATTTTCGAAAATTACTTTTTTTAATGTATTTAGGTTTTTACTTTATATAGATATCAAAAATACAATGTAAATTAATGTATTGAATTAAATCTGGTTTAACAAATAACTCTATATACAGTTTAATTTAAAAAAGAAGGTTTAAAGTTACTAAATAATATTTCTTGCCTTTTATAACTATACTGTAAATTATTTATTTCAAACTAACTTTTAAAAGTTATTTATTTCAAACATACAGTATATTGTACAGCACATTTTAACAATATATAGGCCATGAACAAATTTGTAATTTGCAGATTGATTACTATTATTAGTTCTTGGGTAAATCTTGTTAGGCAAAAAACCTTTTATAATAACTTCACAGATACAGAATAAATTTGTGTCAAAATTTTCATTATTCTTCTTATCTTGATCTGTTCTTGAGTCTTCTTTATCTTCAATGTTTAGTGAATTAAGCCCATTACATTATATATAACTTTCAGCACACCAGTAATGTCATTTAAAGGTACCATAAGACCTGCGTGTTGATAACTGGTGATAATAAACTTCTATATAATCAATGACTGTAGACAAAGAGTGACCTTTTTGTCTCAGCTATAGAATCATTCTGAAATAATTTAAACTAGAATTGTCTTATAAAAAACAGTATTATCAATTAGATTAAGTATCATAGATGTATTTTCAATCGAATTGGACGTACTATACCAACTATGCCAATTAGTCCAATAGATCCAATTTGACAATTATGATAAATATTTAAGAGCTGATTAATAAATAGTCTCATTCAATAATTAGTGTAAAATGAATTATTAAAAAGTAACTTGTAACTTTAATTTTCATGTACATTCACTAAATCAACGCGAATTGAATGGATTAGTGATATTAGTTTGTCTATTAGATATCTGAAATATAATAGATAATTGATTAAAAAACAATATAAATCATTTGACAATTACAAATTCCAAGGTTATCAGCAATATAAAATTGGAATTTTTTATCCAGATAAAAATAGAATTTCTCTAATTTATATTGTTGATTACCTTAGAACTTGTATAATTCAAATAATTCGTTTGAATATCCGGTTTAATGAGATATCCGGATATAGCATTTCGGATAAATGGATGGCGGATTAATCCGGATCGGAACTCTAGATTAAGCGAAAACTTAACCATACATCGTAAAATATGGTTAAACGACTAACGGTTCCTATCCCATTTAAGTCTTTACATTCTTTTTTTTATATACGAAAAAAGAAATTTGAGATAAACAAAGGTCATATAACGGAATATTTTTGAAACTTTTTCATGGTTTGTTAAAACTTTAGCTGTGAAACTTGATAGTGAAAAATCGACCATGATCTGGAACAATAAAAATTATTGTTTTTTTTTAACTTATCTGTCCAATCGCAATTTAATAAAATGGTGATCAACTGATTGCATGTATACAGCCAATTAAAAAAACTCCTTCTTGGCATTACACAAAATTTAATGCAGTAACAAACATGCAACAAAAAGGTAATGAACTTTAACTTTTAACACGCAAAGTCTAAATTTAACCTACCATCCTCAAAAGGATATTACATTCTTTCTTTAAGCTACATGACGCAAATTTTTCTTAGTTCCATTAGTGCTGCTGAGTCAACGTCTTCAGCGAAAGCCACTGATGCTATTACCTTTGAAAATGTTAGACGTTGGAGCATTGAACAAGTTTCATTTTGGTTGCAAGAAAATAATTTCAAAGAACATCAAAAGCTTTTTGCTGGTATTAATTTAAATACATTTATTTCATAAATTATTATGATCCAAGGCAAAAAAAATATTAAAGTATATCTACATTTTTTTGTATTAGAAAATGACATTAATGGTGATGTACTCTTAGAAATAGATCATCAAGTTCTTCGAGAACTAAATGTTAAATCAGTCGGTGATCGTATGAGGCTCATAGCAGCAGTAAGAAATTTGTTAAAAACGTGTGCTGGAAATTGTTTAAATTGCCCTGCAATTAAATATGCTAAGGTTGGTAATATCATTACATATATATATATATATATATATATATTAATTATTATGAATTTATATGATTATATGAATAATAAATTTTATTTGTTATCATTAGGATACGAATTCACCCGAAATTGAAAAAGTTAAAAATACTCTTTCAAGGTCAAATTCGAACTCACGTGTACTCGTAAGATCTAATTCAAATCCACGACTGGCTATGAGGTCGAATTCTACGAGTCGCGGAAATAAGGATCATTATAAACCACCTGCACATACCAAAGTTCATATATATTTTCTTTTATTTCAATATCTAGTAAATGAATGTATATAATTGAAATTATATTAAAATAATTTATAATATTTTTTTTTAGCAAAAATCTGTGGAATTTCCTATGTCTCTTGAGAGCGTCATGCAGGTAATGGCTAGAATATTCTCTTTTACATAATTACGATAAATTATTCGATGAAATCTAAAATTTAAAACTGCTTTATATTATTTTAGCGATGTATTAAAGTTTATGGTGAAGAAGGTCAAACACGAACTATTCCTATAATCAATATCACTGACGCAAAATCTATTTTGGCTCGTATCTTGCAAAAGTTTAATATTAATGAGGATACTGAAAAATATTCTTTATTTGCTACGTTAAGCGATGGTGCAAGTGTGTTTTTTACTATATATATATATATATTTATATATATATTTATTTATTATTATTTCGTTGTATATTTAAACAATGATTTAATTCGATAATTACTACTTTTATTTTTTTAAAAAATTATTATTAAAATGTAATTAATGTGATATAATAATAGCACGGAGCTTGACTGATGAGGAAATTGTCAATATTTGTTCAAGCGCTAATAGACCTGAGCGTGAAAGGCTTATCTTACGAAAGAAACATCTACCAATGAGCCATGAACAAAAAAAGGAACAAATGAGAGCAAAAAAATTAGAAAATTTCTTTGGTGAACAACCACCAAGTAGTGGTCAGCCAACTGGGATAGCCGGAATAACTCATAGAAAACTAAGAAATTTCTTTGGTCAACGTCCACCATCTGAATTAATTTCTTCAAATTTGATGGACTATTTTCCTAATCATGCCACTGAAGATCTTGAACGTAGTGCTAGAAATTCTATTAGAAAATCAAGAAGAATATCTTCTGCTTCTAGAATCTCAAGAACTAAATCTAGACGTATATCTAGAACATTCGATGATGTTAATAATAGATTGAGTACTATATTGAGTCCTTCAATTAATTTAGGTGATAATTGTGAAACAACTATCCCTGAAGAAGATCTTGAAAAATTAACTGAAAAAGCTGGTTCTGTGAAGTGTGAAAATTTCGAAGATCTAATCCCTGAAGAAGATGAAGAAGATGAAGAAAATGAAGAAGAAGAAGACGATGAAGAAGATGAAGAAGAAGATGATGATGATGAAGATGATGAAGAGAATGATGGTAATTCAAATATTAGATGGATGAAAGGTGATTTAATAGGAAAAGGTTCCTTTGGTAGTGTATATCTTGGACTTGATTCAGTTACCGGTGTATTGATGGCAGTTAAGCAAGTGGAATTGCCTACTGGAAATTCTGCAAATGAAGAGCGTAAAAAATCTATGGTTAGCATAAAAAACTTTATTATATTATTATATATTTATATATTTATATGATTGTTTGCATTCATTAAACTAATGAATTATTTCACAATTATTTAATATAGGTGGATGCTTTACAAAGAGAAATTGCGCTCTTAAAAGAATTACAACATGAAAATATCGTTCAATATCTTGGTAATAATTTTTTAACCCAAAATTTAACAAAATTTCGAAAAAACGAAACTAAAATTATCATTAATTTTTTTTCCTTACTCATTTTAAGGTTCTCAACATGATGATGAAACATTAAATATTTTCTTGGAATATGTACCTGGAGGTTCCGTTACAACAATGCTTAATAGTTATGGTGCATTAGAAGAACCTCTAGTTAAATCATTTGTAAGACAAATTTTACAAGGATTAAAGTATTTACATGGAAAGGACATCATACATCGTGATATTAAAGGTGCCAATATTTTAGGTAAACTTTTTAAAAGATTATAAATAATCAATTTTTTTTTTTTATTTAGAACCTTATTAATAATATCTATTTTAAAATCAATTGATAAAAAGTGGATAATAAAGGAAGAATAAAGATTTCTGATTTTGGAATATCCAAGAAAGTAGAAGATCGTAAGTGATAACTGATAATTTCGACTTTATATTATTTTTTTCGAATTTTAGATTTATTTATATTTACTAATTTTTTATAAACAGAGATCAGAGCATCAATATCAGTGCATCGACCATCATTGCAAGGATCTGTCTTTTGGATGGCTCCTGAAGTTGTAAAACAAACTGCTTATACAAGTAAAGCTGATATATGGAGTTTAGGATGTCTTATTGTTGAAATGTTTACAGGAACTCATCCTTTCCCAGAGTTTAATCAAATGCAAGCAATGTTCAAGGTTAATTTTTTTTTGATTTTATATATAAATTATAAAAAAAAGTTATGATTTATTTTATATAATTAATTTTTTTGTTAATTATAGATTGGTACTGAATCATGTGCACCGGAAATTCCAGACAATATATCCGATGAAGCAAAAGATTTCTTGAAAAAGACATTTGAGCCGTATGTTATTTAATAGGTTTTCAATATTTAATTCATCGTTTTTTATGTTCATTGCATAACGTGATGTTTATTTTTTTAATAGAAATCATAATGATCGACCAACTGCAGAAGTGCTTTCAACTCATCCATTTGCAAATTCTACGGTTAAATCCAATTTAGCAATACCACAATAATATCATCGTCGAACATAAACTGAATATTTAAGCTACTTTTAATAATTCAGTTGCAAGATAAACATCGGTCTTTATTAGATTGTCAGTTGATAAAAAATTATTCATTCTTTTTATATTGCATAAATTTTGGTGTAATACGTGTAATAGAAAACATAATAATACAAGAATGTATTCAAGGTTTAGAAAAATACATTCAAATTAGAGATAGTACTGTAGATATATAGGATCATTTTTTTGAAATTACAATTTTTTAAACTCAGTAAAAGAGTTGGTATTTATTCTTTCGACTATTACATAAGGTAAACGAGTGTAATTTGTTAATGGAGCGATCATCTCATTAATAATTGAAAGTGTAAAAAATTCTAGTCACTGAGTCAGATATATTTCAATTATTAAATATATACTCATCTTTATCATAATGTTATTCATATTATACTATTCTGATAAAAATATCTCGTGAACTGGTTATCAGATTCAATGCAGTAATGTTGTAACGAAATGAATCAATGGTACATCAGGTCATGAGTTAGTCTAAATTCAAATTATTCCACTCTTTAAATTCAAACTTGTAAATGATTATTATTACTTCAAAATGGTTTGTTGCATCGATATTTTATATAAGTCAAATTATTTCAAATTGAAAAATTGAGCATATGTTTAACAGCGAAAAAAATCTATTACCCGTCTACTCTAGTATGCGCGGTTACTGGTCTTACTGTAATGCTCGGACTAATTTGTTCATCTAGTGACCTATATTAATATATCAATCGTAGTAAATTACCTTTTTCTCGTTCAACCGTTAGATATTAATGATTAAATATATTCAAAATACTGTATAAATATATGTATATTCGAATATATAAGGATTTGTTATTTCGAACTCCCAAAATTCGATTTACTATATTATAAATTCAATGACGTATTACATGAGGCATGCGTTATTACATGAGGCATGCGTTATTTCGGGGCGCGCATGGGCGTTATTAGAGGCGCGATTTCGAAATAACGCTATTTCGTAGAATTTACGTATAATAATTATGATTATTTGTACGTAACATTTATTTATGACTACTGTAAATGACCGAGTATAGTACATGGCTGAGAGTTTATATCATAAAAGTAAAAAAATTTTAAATGCTTGATAAGGATTATATTTCAATCAAGAAGATCTTGAGAATTGCACCAGGGTCTATACCTGGTGGATCTAGAACTACATTAAGGAAAAATCTAAATGGTGCCCTCTAAGTTTTGATAGTGAACTAATACAAAGATTAACATAATAAGTCAACCATTTATATAAAATTATACAATATATTAAAAAAAAATTTACTCTTTTTTTTCAGGCCCACTAACTAAAACGCAGGCATTTATTAGCTAAAATTATAAGAAATCCAAAGTATTATAAGAAATCCATATTACAAGAAATCGTTAAAATTATCTATAATGGGTATCCTATTTCTATATGCAATTTTATTTATGAATAGTTTGTACGTATTAAAAAAAAAAGATGGTTATTTGAAAATTTATAAATTTACACCGTGTATGAACACGGGTATAATTTATAAAAAAATTTAATACAAAATTTAAAGAAAAAAATTAAATCGAATTAAAGTTAAAATAGGTTATGTTAGAGGTTAGGGTTAGGGTTAGGGGTAGTTTATACTAAAATTTTATGTAGATTTTTTTTTTTGTTAGAACTCGAAAAGTGGTTTCATAGACAAAATTTTGAATTATTAATATACCCGTGTTTCATACACGGGTGTACAAATAGAAATTGCCTATTTTTTTTGATTCCACTTATCTTCAATAAAAGACTTAACATTTTTAGCCGATTCATTTGCATCGAAACCAGTAAGTTTATTGGCAATATTTGTAACTTGATCATTCCATGTTGTTTTAAATGTTGGAATGAAACGATGATTGATATAATTTTGTGTTTGAGTAATAGAAGGAATTGGTAATTGTGGTCGAGCATTTGGTCGTTTAGATGGATGAATTAATTTATTCTGGTCAGAAATCTAATTTTATATAATTTATTATATGAAATTATTCAATTAATAATATATAATTAATTATTTATATATATATTTGACATTCTTTTGACATACCGAACTATCTTTTAATTGACTGGGTAAAGCATCTTCGAGCTGATTTCTAGTATTATGTAATTTTGAACGAATTTGTGATGTATTATTTTCAATTTCATTTTGAAAGTAATATAATAATGCCCCAGAAACAATGAAACCAGATATCGTAGCTATAAATTTTGACATTTTTTGCGGAAATAACAATAAAAGAAAAAGTTACAAAAAAAAAAATATTTACGATCTGCAGTATGTGAAAATTTTGTCCTGTAGATCTTTTAGTGCTTTAAGCACATGGTTGGCTGACTAACGTAAATTCTAGGGGAGGATGAACCTGCTAGTAAAATCTGCTATGATCACATGTGAGTGAACGCGGTTAAGTAATCGGTTTTTTTTAGAGTATTGACAGTTGAACTTTCCGATGATTTGAGTTTATCAAGTTTATACAGTTAAATCTTACAAAACCGATCCTGTCAAAATTGATAACCTGTCAAAATTGATGATTTCCTGTTTTTTTATCCAGATCAGAGATTTTTAAATGACGAGCCTAAAACTAGTTATATCGATATAATGTGATGCATATTTGATAGAATCCGAATGACCTGTCAAAAATATGTTCGAAACGCTAATATTTTTCCGTGACCCTGCTCGAAAGTCACGCTCACATGATTATTGCGCCATATATTTAGATGACTAGTCTCTAACCCGGTGCGTAGCACCGGGCTTTAACATTCTTAATTTTTTTTATATTCTTTTAATTATAATTG